GCAAAAAAAAAAAAATACCCATAAATTTATAGTAAGACGAATTATGCTGTGACCATAACATGCATTGAGTATAAATATGATCTTCTGCAGGAATTAAATAGCAGGGCACTTACACTCTGTCCAGTTCAATGAAACAGGTGTGTATTGAGCAGCTACCATATGACAAGCTGTATCAACCTGCCGTTGTGGAGCTTAGAGCCATTAAATGTGTAACTGCCAAGGTGATGTTGCAGGAGGTCATCAAGAGGATGTGACCACTAGTTGACCCAGGAGGACCCCGGCAATCAGAGCCTCCTCACCCACCCCCGTCCTTGGAATGTGTGTTGTGCCTTCTGTTCCCAGAGTGGGAGCCATTTTCAAGGGCACAGCCTTGAGAACAGTAAAGTGGTGTTGAGACCATCTGGATGGTGTACGTGACTGAACCCACGGAAGGCCTCTGTATAAACGTTTAAGATCCTGGTGGGCAGGTGCAGAGATCTACTCATCTTGCGGCCTCCCAAGACAAGCCTCGTACGTATGCCCCATTACTTATTAAACTTGTTGCCTACCAGTCTGGAGTGGTCTACCTCTTTCTTTGATCTCTCCTTGCCCTCTGTGTACAGGGCTGGTTTGCGAACAACAGGTACACTAGTGTGGAAAAGACACAGGTGCCTGGAGAAACTAAGCTAGTCTAGGAAGTCAGGAATGGCTTTCTTAAAGAAGTGAGACTTGAAAGATGACTAGGAGTTAGCAAGGTGAGTGGGTCATGGGGTGGAGATGGAGAGAAGAGATTTTCCAACAGAGGACAAGGCTCAAGGCAGAAGAAAGAGCATGGTAAGCTCCTAGAAATTAAAGGGCTCCCTCAGCAGTTCATTCATTCATTCGCCAGATGCTTATGGAAAGCCAGATAATACCTGGCCCTGTTCTAGACCCCGGAGAGACACTTCAGTAAACAATCAGACGAAAGTCTCTGCCCTAATGTGGCGCACATTTTAGAGGGGAATGGCTTAAAAAATTAAACGTACCATGTGTCAGATGTTCTGTTCTTTGGAGACAGAAAAAAAGAGTGGAGGGTAATACAGAGAAAAGAGTGGAGGGTGATATAGAATTCTGCAGTGCTAGGTAGCTGGAACTGCAATTTTACAGAGGGAATCTGGGAAGTCTTCCTTTACATGTTAATGTTACCATTTTACAGGGTAACATTTAAACAAAGACCTGATGCAAGGGAGGGAGCAGACCCTGCAGATGGCTGGGTAAGAGAGGGAGGTAAAGGTCAAGGCAGGAGCTTCAGCTGCCCAGAATTCCGAGGGAGCCGGTGTGGCTGGAGAGATTGCCTCACGTGAACGGAGAACTTGAAAATCTGGGTCCCAGGGAGCAGATAGGGAGTGAAATCATGCAGTGCCTGGTGAGCCCTCAATAGGGCAAAGGCTTTGCTAGCAGAAATGAAAGGCCGCTGGGAGCTCCAGCCCGGGTGCCATGGTCTCATGTGTTCCAGAGAGACCTTTGCCTGTCGGGTTAAGAATAAGTTAAGGGTGTGTGAGAGGGGAGTCAGTTCATCTGATATGGTTGCAGTGGTAGGGAGGACCAAACCGTGGTGAACTTGTAATCCAAGGTAAATATTGTAAAGTTTAACATAAAGATGGTGGAAGTCATCACAGTGTTTTTGTTGTTGTTTTTGGAAGATTCACCCTGAGCTAACCTCTGTGCGAGTCTTCCTCTATTTTGTATGTAGGTCATTGCCACGTCATGGCTCTCAAGTGGTGTAGGTCCGTGCCCGGGATCCAAACCCATGGACTTGGGCCACCGAAGTGGAGCATGCCACACTTAACCACTAGGCCATGGGGCCAGCCCCTCATTACAGTTTTTTAAACAAGGGATATGATGAACAGATTTCTGTGTTCAAACCTGCACTATCCACTAGCCCCATGAGGTGAGAGGGCACTTGAAATGCTAGTTTGAATTGAGATGTGCTGTACGTGTAAAACGCATATCAAATCACAAATACTTAGTACAAAAAAAAAAAACCTCAAAAAATGAAAAATGTTTCAATAGCTAGATTGTGTGTTGAAATAATATTTTTTGTAGTTTTTCTTGTTTTATGTTTGTGTGTGTGTGTGTGTGTGTGTGTGTGTGTGTGTGTGTGTAAGATTAGCCCTGAGCTAACATCTGCCACCAATCCTCTTTTTGCTGAGGAAGACTGTCCCTGAGCTAACATCCGTGCCCATCTTAGTCTACTTTGTATGTGGGATGCCTGCCACAGCATGGCTTGACAAGTGGTGCCATGTCCACACCCGGGATCCAAACTGGCAAACCCTGGGCAGCCAAAGTGGGACGTGTGAACTTAACCTCTACGCCACTGGGCTGGCCCAAAAATAATATTTTGAACATATTGGGTTAAATAAAATATGTTATTAAAATTAATTTCATCTGTTTCTTTTTAGTTTTTTAATGTGGCTCCTACAAAATGTAAAATTATGTATGTATGGCTCACTTTATATCACTGTTGGGCAGAGCAGGTTTAAAAGAACATGCTGTCTACAGAAGAGATTAAAGTGGGCAAGAATGGGTGTTGAGAGACTAGTTAGCAGCACTTTGAATATCACTAAGCTATTCAAAGTATTTTAAGAGATTTATAGGCATTCTAAGAAGATTCTAAAGGAAGGTGACAAATTAGCTGAAAACACTTCAGATATGAAATTATTTAAATTATTGTTTTCTGGTTACCAAAGAAAATAAATAAAAGGTAACAGTGTTTTGCTGCACAAAATTAAATTATAAGCAGGGTACTTTATATGCTAAACAATGTTTATGGCTGAGATTTGAATGGCTGATAACAGAAAGAAAGCAAAATATTTATGGGTCTTGTCTATGTGTCTTGTAGGTTTTGTGTCTTATATCTATAGGTATATATCTATAGGTTTTATATTTTGTATCTATAGGTACGTGTAGTAAACTTTTAGTGTAGTCCTATAGTATACACATTCCTAGTTAATTTCAAAATAGTCTTATTTCAAAAGGTGACTTAAAAGCCCTTTATAATAGTATTTAAATTAGCATTGGAATACACAGAATGCAAGCTCTCCACTTAAATTTGTACATTCTCTGTAGATTGATTGGTTTATTAGATTTATAAATATTATAATAAATCACATAAAGATATTTAAATTTCTAGTTGGGTTCAACATTTAAAATTATTTGGCAAAGTATTACAAATGTATTCTAGGGAATATTTTCAGTTTTTTTAAAATGCATAATTAAGTAGGAAATAATGATTTTATTGACAAAATATATATAAGATGGCTTTATTGCCATCTTATATATATTTTGTATCTTGTAACTCTATGTCATAAGATTAAATTTAGAAATTAAATATTTTTTAAAGAATATTTTCTGAAAATATTAGTGGGTTTAATTATATATTATTTACATACTCTGAATTTTTGACAGGCTTAGAGAAATATTTTGATGACAGAGTGTTTTTGTTGATTAGCCATATAGTATTAATTAATTTATCAGCAAATTAGAGAAGGGAGTGTTCTTGATATTTATGTGTTACCGCTCATCAGTTCATTTATATTGAAACCAACTTTTTAATAGTAATTTGACTGTACAGAATGGATCATTTTACTTCTCTTGAATTGTTTGATTATTTATAAAAAGTATTGTTATAAAAGCAAACACAAACTATCAAACATGATACAGTTATTGCATACAGACGTGTGCCTGTGTGTCCCTCCTCTCATGCTTTGTGCCTGCTGGAGGGTGAGAGTCAGTGGTGCACGGCACACACTGGTAATGGAGCTGCCGTCATTCAGATCTACACAACGTTCATCCTCTCAGGTCTAAAAGGAATTTTATTGGGACTCATTTAAGTAGGAATTAAATTTACCTCAAAAAAATTAAATGGCATTTTTTTCTCTTTTCTTCCTGGATATATAGAAGAAGTCTTATCAATAGGTTCGTTATTGTTGAATTAGGATTCTTGTATGTTTTTAAATAAAGCATTTTGTAAAAACACGTTGGGTTATAACAGTTTGTTAAAACATTTTTTAAAATAATATGTCACTGGAAAATTGCTCTTCCTTTGTGCTGTAGAACAGCATTAATTTAGAAAGTGACCAGCAGTGGTTTTTCTTTGAGACGAGAGCAGCTAAGCCCCACCGTTCAGGACCGTGGATGCATATGTACACAGGAGCCTTTTTTCTAAATCTTCCATTCCTGTGAAAATGACAACATGGATTTATCAAAGAGAAAATGAGTTTCAATAAAATATTCCATCACGTAGCGTTAGTCATTTACACTTCATTTTCATGATTTTTTGTGAAAATTTAATCATTTGCATACAATTTTCATGATTTTTGCCATATGTTTATAGCATATATGCATACCTTATTTACTTAATATTTTATCTACCCACTTTTTTACTTAATTCAAAATTTTTAAATTAATTTATTTCAATATAATAAACAGAAAAAAAGCCATAAAAATAAAACAATGTGATCAAACTATAGCTAGACCTTGCGAAAGTCTCTGAGCCTAAGGTCAGCTCTCATTTTGTTAAAAGAAAATTCCACCAGTAAGAAGGGTGTTAAAGATATACCAGCACCACACTGGGGCTTTCTCCTTGGTATGCGGAAGAACTGAGGGAGAAATGGAACATAAATGCATTTTAAACAGTGTGATTCGATGTAATTTAATATCGTCTCCCAGAAATACACAAAGTCATCTTCTTACTGCCAGGTATGGGCACCCCCACACTTTGCTAAGCACTGTAATTTTGTGTGTGTGTTTCAGGTGTGCTTTTTAAAATTAACAACCTCAGCTAACATGTGAAGTCACAGTGTATTACTAATTGTGAATGACTAATTTCATTAATTAATATTAACATATACTATTGACTTTTCTGTGTGTGACACTGAACTCTGAGATCCAAAGTGAGTATAAATTAAAATATGTCGTACATGTACAAATAAAAGAACTCTAGCAGTAATAACAAAAAATTGTTTCTCCTGTTTTTACAGCTTGCAGACCAGGATTCTATAAAGCATTTGCCGGGAACACAAAGTGTTCTAAGTGCCCTCCGCACAGTTTAACGTACATGGAAGCAACTTCTGTCTGTCAGTGTGAGAAGGGTTACTTCCGAGCTGAAAAAGACCCAGCTTCCATGGCGTGTACCAGTAAGTGGATACATTTTGCATTTGGGAATCCTGTTTCCAGCGCTTTTGGTCTCTTCATCCTAAATTTTTTTAATATAGATATGTAAAATCCTGTACTGTTGGTGCTATTTGTCTTTGATAACAGTCAAGGAAAAAGTTTCTCTTTGTTCTCAGCATAGTTGCTTTTCATCTGCTTGCGAAGAATGTGTTTATCCCTCAGAATTCACATTGATCCTTGACATGCAAGTGCCAGCACTGGTTTGAGGCCCTGTGCATTTTCCCTAGCCATGATCTGTCCTTAGGAAGCTACAGCAGTTTAAGGCTACCTGAGAATTTATAGGCAAAACTTCTGTTCTTTGCTTCATCCCTTGACCATTTTAAGGCACATCAGTTTAGGCCCATCAAGTTTACTGTGTGGGGGGCTTCCAGAGGGAGCTTTAAAAGTCATTGTGCTGTTGTTATGCAGAAAAGGTTGAGTTTGTCTTTAAAGGAAAGTATTTTTGAGTTTGTCCATATTTCACTTCTCACCTTCTCTCCAATTTTTGGGTTGGAACAAATAGAATATTAAATCTAGTGAAGGTCATTTTAATGCATGCACTGAGAGTTTTAAATTATTTGTATTCTATTATTAAACAATTGTGAAATATCTGTACAGTTTTTAAAATAAAAGTGAATATATTAATATATTGTTAAGTAATGCAAAAAGTAAAGTGTCACCTCAATAGTTATAAAGTCTTGTTAAATTCATAAATGATATAGTGAAAATTTCCCCTTATTTTTGATGAATTGGTGCCAAAATATAACTTATCTTATGTAATTCCATAGAGGCAAAAATAGGTTGAGAATTGTGAAATGCCACATATTCCTTAAAGACAATGGAGATGTCCCATTTCTTTTAACTGATGCAGTTCATATTATTACAGACTTTGATATAAAATATTTTTATAGAACACGTTTAGTAGAAATGGAACACGTTCATTAGTAGATGTAACTTTTACTTTCTGATTGTAAATGCTGAGTGACTACTTTCTTCAGAAAATTGTAGCCTGGGAAATTACTGCCTCGATATTTTTTTCTCTAGGAACATATTTTAAATTTATAAATAGGAAAAAGAAAATTCTAAATGTAATTTCTTAGGTATTGTGGAAATCGTTTTGAGTTGGAAAAGCTTGCTCTTACTATATGTTGTAATCCCTGCACGCTTGCTGTACATGATTCTGTTACACTGTGGACAGCATGCTGCGGCTTGAGCAGCTGGTGGTGGTTCAGATGGTTGCAGTCCTGCCAAGCCAGTACCCCTCACAGCGTGGCTCAGAAACCGAGTGGAGCTCCCGAGCTGAGTGACAGAAGAGAATCTCCTGTTTTCATTTTGTTAGGAGAGCGTAAATAGATGATTAACAAGCTGAAGGGATAAACTGGTTCCCATCAGTATAAACCTTCAGTGAAGTCGCAGAATAGATAGTTGGAAAAGCATACAGATCTTTGGAGTGAGAGACTAGTTAAGGAAATAAATATGGGATGAACAAGGTCTATGAACCTGGTAAACTAGTCAGTCATGGTTGAATCAAATATGCGCATTTATCAGCTAAATGTTTTATGTTTCTTGGATTTTCTTTCTTTTTTAAAAAATTTTCTTATTCTTACTCTTGGTATGGTAAATTATGTTTGTAAAATGGCAGCCTGCTGTGGCTACACTAAGTGGAAGCAGCTACACTAAGTGGGCAGAGCTGTAGACAGGGACCAGCATGCTGTGTGGCCAGCAGGGATTAAAAGACAGAACCCCCCAAAAAGGTGAAATTTTCAGTCAGGTCTCCCAGTGCAGCCTCAGGCGGCTCCCCACTCAAGGCTTCTCTCTGCTTCCTTGAGGACTGCTATGCCATGGTTTAGCAAAGACTCAGCATGGCGTGCTGGTAAGTTCACCATCTTTTAGAGCCTAATTATCTGAGTGTATATCTTGGTTTTGGTGCTTACTAGCTGTTTAACTTTGGGAAAATTATTTAACCTCCCTTAGCTTCCATTGCACTGGTAGGTAATAACAGTACCTACCACATTCTGTTGTTACAATGATTAAATAAGTTAATATTTGAAAAGTGCTAAGAACAATACCTAGCACATACTAGGTGCTACGTAAATGGTTATTTAATACGTAAAGCTGTTTTCTTATGACTCATTTTGAAATAGTTTCTGATAAGCTAGTATTCAAACTATTAAATACTTTATGTTGGTACTTTTATATTGGGCTCACAGCTTCCATTATTTGCATTTATATAAACTGAAAAAAAAATAATGTACTGAATTTTTAAGAACTTTTCACAAAATATTTTGTCCTGTACCTCTATGCCTATCTGATATCAGTAAAGTTTTTTGAATTACGCTCTAAATAGATGAGAGACCCTAGCAGTTATCACATTATATGCAGAAAAAGTAAGAGCTGTAAACTAAACTCCAATGTATCATGGCTCCTAAAAATGAGAAGGTTAGATTTTTGGGGAAGAAAAATCAGAAAAATGACAAGTATGAGGTCATTGAACAATTAGTCTTAAGAGGACCCAGGGTAAGTTTACCAAGATTTGAACTTTTGAGGCCAAAAAGCAAGCAGTCAATCTTTCTAGTCTTACATTAACTGCTGACAATAGCCAAATTTGGATAGATACAACTCCCTCACCTTCTAGATTATGCATCTATGAATCAGCCATTCTTTATTACCGTTATTCCAGTAGTGTATTATCTAACACTGAGGATTTGAGTGAGGTAAACAATGAATCCCATCACTTTTGGGTGTTTCTTCAGTCTTAGAATTTCAAACTATGCTTTTAGAGAATCTCCTGGGGATTTAAAAGGAGGCTTTTTTTCCCTTAGTATCAGAGACGGGGAGATTTTGAAAGTATGAGTTTAAAAGAAAATGAAGGACTAAAATGTTGGAAATGATAAACCAAGGCATTTGGCCAGTAGGTTGCCTAGTAGAGAAAGATTTCATAGATAAGTGTAGTCCATGATCATATAAATGATATGATTTTAATGACTTCAGAGAGTCTGCCCCTGCTCCTTAGCACCATCATCAAAACAATAACAACAACCCTTGAAAATGTGATTGCACCATTAAGAGTTTTATAATTTCTTTGGGTTTTCACTGTAGAGGTAGGTGTCTTTTGGGGGGGGGGGAAGGGGGTAGATTAACCCTGAGCTAACATCTGCTGCCAATCCTCCTCTTTTTGCTGAGGAAGACTGGCCCTGAGCTAACATCCGTGCCCATCTTCCTCTACTTTATATGTGGGACGCCTGCCACAGCATGGCTTGTCAAGTGGTGCCATGTCCGCACCCAGGATCTGAATCTGTGAACCCCGGGCTGCCAAAGTGGAATGTGTGAACCAGGCTGGCCCGGTGTCTTTCTTAGTTTCATAATCTTGAGACATATGAAATATATGATTTATTCACATAAAGATTTTTTTATTAAGATTTTATTCTTTTGGAGCTGTTTTAGATTCACAACAAAATTAAGAGAAAGTATAGAGATTTCCCATATACCTTTCTTCCCTGTTATCAACATCTCCCCCCCCCAGAGTGCTACATTTGTTAGTCTGTGAACCTACATGGACACATCATAATCACCCAAAGTCCATGGTTTACAGTTGGGTTCACTCTTGGTGTTATACCTTCTGTGGTTTGGACAAATGTATAATCACATGTACCTCCCATTATAGTATCATACAGAGGATTTTCACTGCCCTAAAAGTCCTTTGTGGTCCACCTGTTCATCCCTTCCTCCTTCCATCAGCCCCAGGTGACCACTGATCTTTTTCCTGTCTCCATAGTTTTGCTGTTTCCAGAATGTCATATAGTTGCAATCATACAATATGCAGCCTTTCAGATTGGCCTCTTTCACTGAGTAATATGCATTTAAGATTTCTTCACGTCTTTTCACAGCTGAAGAGCTCATTTCTTTTTAGTGCTGAATAATATTCCATTCTCTGGACATGACACAATTTATTTATCCACTCACCTACTGAAGGACATCTTGGTTGCTTCCCAGTTTTGGCAGTGATGAATAAAGCTACTGTAAACATGTATGTGCAGGTTTTGTGTGGACATAAGTTTTCACACTTATTTGGGTAAATACAAAGGATTAAGATTCCTGGATCACATAGTAAGAGTATGTTTAATTTTGTAAGAAACCACCAAACTACCATTTTGCATTCCCGCCAGCAATGAATGAGAGTTCCTGTTGCTCCACGTGCTTTCCAGCATTTGCTGTTGTCAGTGTTCTGGATTTTGGCCATTCTGATGTGTGTAGTGATATCTCACTGATGTTTTAATTTTCCTTTCCCTGATGACATGTGATGTAGAGCATCTTTTCATATGCTTTTTTGCCATCTGTATGTCGTCTTTAGTGACGTCTCCACATAAATTTTTTTAAGTGTTTCAATTGGCTACAGTTAAAAAACAAAAAAGATGCCTCATATTCAAAGCTACTTGTGGGGGTGCTGTGATCCTTCAGTCTTCTATTGCGCCTGGCTGTAATTGTTAATTTTCTTATCTGACATTTTGTTTCACTAACTCCTTTCTCACAATCTTTGAGTATAGTCCTCCAAAACAAACGCCTTGGAAAAACAGTCTTCATTGGTTGTGGCTACTTCTTCACTTTTACTTTTTACTCTACTGCGTTCAGATTTTTGCTCTTCATTCTACTGCAATCAGATTTTTCTTCCATCACTTCAAATCAGCTGTATAAGGAAAACTCACCAATGATCTTTGCCATTTTGTGTTAGAAACATTTTTATCCTGTTATTCATGATACATAACTCTGTTGATCACTCCCTTTTTCTTGAAACACCTGTTCCCTTTTTTCTAAGACATTGCAATCTCCCCTTCACCTTCTTAATTTTCTGACTATTGTGTTTGTCACCACTGATGGTTTCTCTTCTTTTGCTCACCCATTAAACATTAATTTTCCTCATCTTTCTTTCTTCTCCTTCTTGTATTTTCATAGGTTCTCTTTCTCATGGCTTCAAATATCATTTGTA